CATTTTCCTTCCAGTCCTTCATTTTCTGACGTGTAGTTTGGTTATATCATCGCTATATATACCATGTTCATCAGGCAGCAAGTGGCGTGAGGCAGGATGGGAGTCTGGTGTGTACACATGTGGCAGACACACACACACAGCTCTGCGTAGCTTTATGAGGTAAATTACAGATCATTTCGAATGCATGTCTCTGTATGGTTCTTACCCGTGTGTCTCTTTGTATAGTAAATACAGTCCTGACATGTCAAGCTCAGCAGGTACAGTCCTGACATGTCAAGCTCAGCAGGTACAGTCCTGACATGTCAAGTTCAGCAGGTACAGTCTTGACATGTCAAGCTCAGCAGGTACAGTCCTGACATGTCAAGCTCAGCAGGTACAGTCCTGACATGTCAAGCTCAGCAGGTACAGTCTTGACATGTCAAGCTCAGCAGGTACAGTCTTGACATGTCAAGCTCAGCAGATACAGTCTTGACATGTCAAGCTCAGCAGGTGCAGTTCTGACATGTCAAGCTCAGCAGGTGCAGTTCTGACATGTCAAGCTCAGCAGGTACAGTCCTGACATGTCAAGCTCAGCAGGTACAGTCCTGACATGTCAAGCTCAGCAGGTACAGTTCTGACATGTCAAGCTCAGCAGGTACAGTCTTGACATGTCAAGCTCAGCAGGTACAGTTCTGACATGTCAAGCTCAGCAGGTACAGTCCTGACATGTCAAGCTCAGCAGGTACAGTCTTGACATGTCCAAGCTCAGCAGGTACAGTCCTGACATGTCCAAGCTCAGCAGGTACAGTCTTGACATGTCCAAGCTCAGCAGGTACAGTCTTGACATGTCCAAGCTCAGCAGGTACGGTCTTGACATGTCCAAGCTCAGCAGGTACAGTCTTGACATGTCCAAGCTCGGCAGGTATAGTCTTGACATGTCCAAGCTCAGCAGGTATAGTCTTGACATGTCCAAGCTCAGCAGGTATAGTCTTGACATGTCCAAGCTCAGCAGGTATAGTCTTGACATGTCCAAGTTCAGCAGGTACAGTCTTGACATGTCCAAGGTCAGCAGGTATAGTCTTGACATGTCCAAGCTCAGCAGGTATAGTCTTGACATGTCCAAGCTCAGCAGGTACAGTCTTGACATGTCCAAGCTCAGCAGGTATAGTCTTGACATGTCCAAGCTCAGCAGGTATAGTCTTGACATGTCCAAGTTCAACAGGTACAGTCTTGACATGTCCAAGGTCAGCAGGTATAGTCTTGACATGTCCAAGCTCAGCAGGTATAGTCTTGACATGTCCAAGCTCAGCAGGTATAGTCTTGACATGTCCAAGCTCAGCAGGTATAGTCTTGACATGTCCAAGCTCAGCAGGTATAGTCTTGACATGTCCAAGCTCAGCAGGTACAGTCTTAACATGTCCGAGCTCAGCAGGTACAGGCTTGACATGTCCAAGCTCAGCAGGTACAGTCTTGACATGTCCAAGCTCATCAGGTATAGTCTTGACATGTCCAAGCTCAGCAGGTATAGTCTTGACATGTCCAAGCTCAGCAGGTACAGACTTGACATGTCCGAGCTCAGCAGGTACAGGCTTGACATGTCCAAGCTCAGCAGGTACAACACAGGAACGGACTCTGGCAACATTCTCAGTATATGAGATAGTTGTGGTGTCGTGGACGGCTGTGTACACCTTCAAGTGCGTCTTGAAGAGCTCTGCCACTCATGACTTCCTTGTGTTCACTTGCCAGAGTTCCTTTTGGGTCGTCTCCATCTTCTTCACAACTTGTATTTAATATGATTTTCTTCCGCCTCTCAGATTTCAGTCAGTATCTTGAGGAAGTATTTGGACTGTCAGCTCTCCATTAAAACCCTCGTGTTGCCAGCACGGACAGGTTGGAATCCTCCTCCGAAGATATAATGGAATAAGCGGAGGGAAAACATATGAAGGAAAATGAACCATAAAGCCGGAATTGTTTTCCTCAGGATGAGCAGCATCAGTCTGGAGCGGCGGAGGAGTGCCAAGATCACGTGTCCCATGATGCTCGCTGCCTTCACCTTCCTCTGTGTCACTTCCCATGTCATCATCACCGTCATCATCACCGTCATCATCCCCGGTGAGATAATGATACATTGGCTACACTGAGCATGAGTATCTTATTGAGGTTTTCTTGAGATGATTATGGGGCTTAGCGTCCCTGCGGCCCGGTCCTCGACCAGGCCTCCTTTTTTTACATACCCCCAGGAAGCAGCCCGTAGCGGCTGTCTTACTCCCAGGAACATATTTACTGCTAGGGGAACAGGGGCTTCAGGGTGAAAGAAACTGTCCGTTTGTTTACGCCTCCGCCGCGGATCGAACCCGGAACTTTAGGACTGCGAGTCCCATGCTCAGTTCACTCAGCCGTCAGGAATATATGACATTGGCAACACTGGACATGAGTATACACCACTGGCAACACTGGACACGAGTACACAACATTGGCAACACTGGACACGAGTATACAACATTGGCAACACTGGACACAAGTATACAACATTGGCAACACTGGACACGAGTACACAACATTGGCAACACTGGACACGAGTACACAACATTGGCAACACTGGACACAAGTATACAACATTGGCAACACTGGACACAAGTATACAACATTGGCAACACTGGACATGAGTACACAACATTGGCAACACTGGACACAAGTATACAACATTGGCACCACTGGACACGAGTATACAACATTGGCAACACTGGACACAAGTATACAACATTGGCAACACTGGAAACAAGTATACAACATTGGCAACACTGGACACGAGTACACAACATTGGCAACACTGGACACAAGTATACAACATTGGCAACACTGGACACGAGTATACAACATTGGCAACACTGGACACGAGTATACAACATTGGCAACACTGGACACGAGTACACAACATTGGCAACACTGGACACGAGTACACAACATTGGCAACACTGGAAACAAGTATACAACATTGGCAGCACTGGACACGAGTATACAACATTGGCAGCACTGGACACGAGTATACAACATTGGCAACACTGGACACGAGTACACAACATTGGCAACACTGGACACAAGTATACAACATTGGCAACACTGGACACAAGTATACAACATTGGCAACACTGGACACAAGTACACAACATTGGCAACACTGGACACAAGTACACAACATTGGCAACACTGGACACGAGTATACAACATTGGCAACACTGGACACAAGTACACAACATTGGCAACACTGGACACAAGTACACAACATTGGCAACACTGGACACGAGTACACAACATTGGCAACACTGGACACAAGTACACAACATTGGCAACACTGGACACAAGTACACAACATTGGCAACACTGGACACAAGTACACAACATTGGCAACACTGGACACAAGTACACAACATTGGCAACACCAGACACGAGCATACAACATTGGACACGAGTATACAACACTGGCATTACACCTAATGCCTCTGTTCACCTTCCTTACCTTGCGACCTTGTGATGATCTCGGGGCTGAACGTCCCCACGGCCAGGCCTCAAACCTAGCAGTAAATATGTACCTCGAAGTTAGAGTAGTGTTGTGAATTATATGAAAGACCAGAAGATAGCTACGGGGACCTTGATATCCATAATAACTTCTCTCTCCCCGACCCTGGGGAACAATTATACCTTCTAACTCCGTTGACTGCGCACTCTTCTGGTAAATATGATAAGGACGCCACTTTCTGAGAATGACTACACCCCTGATACTCCTACCCCTCTGGCATGATTTTAATTGCAATATCATCTAATCTTTTCATATTGGTATTCTCTTCCCCAGCAGTATTAGAGGAGAGAAAGGTTGGAAACGAAGTGTTGACGGAAGAGACGTTCCTTGGGGCTCACCAGGATGACCCGTCACTGGTGGCTTACATCCGGCAGCAGCTCTTAGTGCCGCCCTCCACCTTGCCCTACAACCTCACCAATCCACATGTAACACACTTCTCTCAGTACGGCCAGACCCAGTACGCTAACAACGTCATCCTTCGTAACATGGTGAGTGTGTTGGCAGTGAAGCAACACTCACTTCAGGCTTTTCTCGTTTGATTTTCTATGCTCTTAAACTTAAATATATTTATATACATTTATTTATATATACAAGAAGGTACATTGGGTTTATGAGAGTACATAGCATTGAAGTTTTTATATTCTTGTAAAGCCGCTAGCACGCATAGCATTTCGGGCAGGTCCTTAATTAATATTAATCTAACAAATAATTTTAAGTAGGTAATTTCTAGCAAAAATGATTTTTTTTATTTTATTTAACAGGTACATTATAAGAAAATTTGACAAAGATTCGTAGGCACATTAAGTAAAATAAAATTTGTGGGTTATCAGAAGGTACATTGTAGCACAATTTGAAAATTATTTCAAGGTATAATGCAGTAAAATATGCTTTCATCATAAACAACTGTGATATAAGATGATTACAATGGTAGACTTGAATGGATTAGGTACAATATATTTGGGGGATTGGGTAGCACTAGATACAGTGCGAGTTTAAAGCATTAGGTAGGAAACTATGAAGATGAAATTAGGTACTTTTTGGTATTGTTTTGAATAAGGCAAAAGTTGGATAGCTTTTCAATTCGTTAGGGAGTGAGTTCCATAGACTAGGTCTCTTTATTTGCACTGAGTGTTTACACAGATTGAGTTTGACTCTGAGGATATCAAAGAGATATTTATTTCTGGTGTGGTGATTATGGGTCTATTACATCTGTCCAGGAAGAGTTTTAAAACAAGGTTTGCATTTAAGAACAGGGTTTTGTAAATGTAAATCGCACATGAGAATGTGGGAGTGATTTTATGTTTAGCATGTTTAGGGATTTTGTGCACGTTCGTGCACACGCCACACGGACACACACACACACACACACACACACACACACACACACACACACACACACACACACACACACACACACACACACACACACACACACACACACACACACACACACACGGGAAACTATGAGGAGATGAATAAATTCCTATGGGATATACATTGGGACACAAAACTCGGAACCAAGTCCGTACAAGACATGATGGACTATGTCACCCAAAAATGTCAGGAGGCTGTAAGCAGGTTTGTCCCAGCCCGACAGGAAAAAACAGAGAAGCAAAGGAAGAATCCGTGGTTTAATTGGGAATGTATGAAAGCAAAGGAGCTGAACAAAAGGGCATGGAGGAACTTCCGTAATAACAGAACACCAGAAAGTAGAGAGAGATACCAGAGAACCAGGAACGAGTATGTTAGTGTGAGAAGAGCAGCTGAGAAAAAGTATGAAAATGATATAGCTAATAAAGCCAAGACCGAACCAAAGCTGCTACACAGTCACATCAGGAAGAAGACAACAGTGAAGGAACAGGTGATGAAACTTAGGGTGGGCGAGGACAGGTACACAGAGAATGACAAAGAGGTGTGTGAAGAACTCAACAAAAGGTTCCAGGAGGTCTTTACAATAGAACAGGGAGATGTCACGGCGCTAGACGAGGTGGCAGCAAACCAGGTGACCTTGGATAGGTTCGAAATTACAAGAGATGAGGTCAAGAAGCACCTATTGGAGCTGGGTGTGAGAAAAGCTGTTGGGCCGGACGGAATCTCACCATGGGTATTGAAAGAGTGTGCAGAAGCACTTTGCTTGCCACTCTCCATAGTGTATAGTAGGTCACTGGAAACGGGAGACCTACCAGAAATATGGAAGACTGCTAATGTAGTACCAATATACAAAAAGGGTGACAGACAAGAGGCACTGAACTACAGGCCAGTGTCCTTAACTTGTATACCATGCAAGGTGATGGAGAAGATTGTGAGAAAAAACCTAGTAACACATCTGGAGAGAAGAGACTTCGTGACAACCCATCAACATGGGTTCAGGGAGGGTAAATCTTGCCTTACAGGCTTGATAGAATTCTACGATCAGGTGACAAAGATTAAGCAAGAAAGAGAAGGATGGGCGGACTGCATTTTTTTGGACTGTCGGAAAGCCTTTGACACAGTACCCCATAAAAGGTTGATGCATAAGCTGGAGAAACAGGCAGGAGTAACTGGTAGGGCGCTCCAGTGGATAAGGGAGTACCTAAGCAATAGGAAGCAGAGAGTTACAGTGAGGCGTGAGACCTCAGAATGGCGTGAAGTCACCAGTGGAGTCCCACAGGGCTGTGTACTTGGACCTATCCTGTTTCTGATATACGTAAATGATCTCCCAGAGGGTATAGACTCATTCCTCTCAATGTTTGCTGACGATGACAAAATTATGAGAAGGATTAAGACAGAGGAGGACAGCTTGAGGCTTCAAGAAGACCTGGACAAGCTGCAGGAATGGTCGAACAAATGGCTGTTAGAGTTTAACCCAAGCAAATGTAATGTAATGAAGATAGGGGTAGGAAGCAGGAGACCAGATACAAGGTACCATTTTGGACATGAAATACTTCAAGAGTCAGGAAGAGAGAAAGACCTGGGGGTTGATATCACGCCAGACCTGTCCCCTGAAGCTCATATCAAGAGGATAACATCAGCAGCATATGCCAGGTTGGCTAACATAAGAACGGCCTTTAGAAACTTTTGTAAGGAATCTTTCAGAACATTATATACCACATATGTCAGACCAATCCTGGAGTATGCGGCTCCAGCATAAAGTCCATATCTAGTCAAGCATAAGACTAAACTGGAAAAGGTTCAAAGGTTTGCCAACAGACT